TGGCCTACTACCTTTCCCTCCAGCCCGCCTCTGACTCCGAGTACTCTGTCGCTCCCATCACCCCCAAGAAGCTCAAGGAGGCTCTCATCGCCGTCGGTACCGTCGGTGCCCTCAGCGACATTCCCCGCGACACCCCCAACGTCCTCGCCTGGAACGGCGGTGGCTGCAACAACTACACTGCCATCGTCAAGGCTGGCGGTTACACTGTCAAGCAGGAGTCCAAGGAGACCACCATCGATGACCTCGAGAAGGCCATTGAGGAGGACTTTGAGGTTCTCTCTGGCAAGGTTGTCAAGGGTGCCAAGAGCGTCGGCACCAAGGCCGAGAAGTTCGCCAAGAAGATCCACAACTTGGTCGACGAGGAGCTTAAGGAGTTCCTCAGGGAGACCTCTTTGTAAGCGTTATAATAGAGCGCTAGAATGGTCTTTTATTTCCTTTTTCTTTGGGTCCATGAGAGTGTACGCATAGGTTTATTGCGGGATGGGACAGGATGGATGCATCGCTTTCATAGCTACATACAGATCTCATAGCACAACCAATAAGTTTCTTCACTGTAACCATTTCCAACCACGGTGATCTTGATTGTTCAAGTCTGCTAAGTGACCATCGCTGTCCGACCGGCCGTGCCCCAGGAGGGTTGGACAAGCATGAGAAGGCCCAAAGTTTAATGACGTCCATGAGTAAGCCTATCTTTCATGTCGTTGGGGTTGAGGTTGTCAGGTCAAAATAGAATTGAAGTGAGTGTATTCAAGTACAGTAGTGTCACAGAATTCTTGGGGAATTAGTGCCATGGCTGCATGGCTAGCTTCCGTCATCTGAGTCAATCTGGCATTGAGACAATGCATTACAACCGCCTAGTCCTGAATCTCTAGCTAATCTTGGCTTGCCTGACTTTCTGCACCTTGCGCTCGCTGTGTGAAGGGAAAAGAGGGAAGACTGGAATGTGATCCGGTCCCTGCGCGGAAGTAATGGCACAACGGCTGGCTCTTGCCCAAGTGCCATCTCATGCCTGGCCCCCAGAGGCAAAGGGAAGGGATCAGTCAGCGTTTCTCCTTCCTTCGCCTGGACATGACGTGGCTTCCCACCTCTTCCCTCTGAAAGTTCATTCAATCTTGGAGAAGGAGCAGTCATGGAGCTCGCCGTTACACTAATTGCTGGCTGTTGGTGGCCCTGCTCAAGGGACGACGTCCCTCCGCTACATCCTCCATTCAAGCATTCACGGCTCATCATTTGACACGCTCGACGATACTTCTTCATAGTCTCCCAGCTTGCTTTTGGTTAGCCTCAGGCCGAGTTTCCGAACGTCGACCGACAAACAGCAGCTTCACTTGAATCTCTCTACTTCCCTTTATTCCTAAGCCGCCTCGAGATTTGGTGTCTTCCTTCTGCTAGGCCCTCCTCCTAATACACCCACGCTCACCCTATGCGGCGACATAACAGTACCAAGTCGAGGTCGACTCTGACTCGAAGCAAGTCTACGGCTTCCGTTCGCTCGGCTGTTCAACGATTAGAGCACATTGATCCAGCCACTGCCGAAAGAGATGCTCATATTGCCGCCACCCTATCCTTCTCTCGGGCGAACCACAATGCCGATGTGGACATGGGAATTGAATCTTTGAGGCAATTCCAAAAGCCTTTCAACATGAAGACTTGGTCGGAAATTCCGTCAAGTCAGCTTCCAAGCGAATCGGATCGGCTCAGCTCCAATGCCGGGGGTCTACGCCGACAGCAGAGTATTCGATTTGTGAAGCAAGGGGCTCGAACCAAGCGACAGCGAAGCCAAATCAAAGATGACCTTTCTGATATAGGGACTGTTTGTCACCGGAGCGTCCTCAAAGATGTTGCCAATCAGCCCGCTAGCCGAACTTGTCGTACTGCCGAGCGTCCATTTGTGAGCACTTATACGACCAACTACATCAACTCTTTACCTCCGAGCGAATCATTCGGGTCTCCAGACGAATGTGCACCTGCTCCAGCATCGTACCGAAGACTGCGCAAGTCACGCTCGATGTTTGCCCCCTTGAATCCGATCGGTCTGCGCCGACCAAGCAAGACATACTTCAGCGAGTCTCCAGAGCAGGAGAATGTACAGCCTGCTTTGGGACGAGAGTCTATGCAAGACATGAAGGAGAACAAGCCATCACCGAAGAAGATTCTTGGGCTGAGGAACCCAAAGTCAATGAGCTTTCTCAAAATTCGGGGCGTTCTGGATTCTGACAGACTTGGGAGCCGACAGCAGATCGATTTGGCAGTCCAAGAAGGCGAGGACAGTTTCCGCAAAGACGTCGAAGAACAACGGCAATTAAAACCGCGACCATCAAGGATATTCTCGAAAGCAAAGAAAGGCCAGGCGTCTCTGAGTTTACGCCGATCCATGAGAGACTTCAGTGCCGATGTTCAATCCCTTGGCCCGGAAAATGGTTTCGTGATCAATAAGGACGCTTCTCTTCGAAAGAAGGCCCGAAAAGTCTCAAGCAGTCTCAAAAGCAAATTGAAAGATATGTTCCGCCGGAGCAAGAAGGATGATTTGGTTGTGGAAGCTAGCGGGCCTCCTTCAAAGATTTCGAACGTAGTCCAAGATCTCGTTGGCGTTGACAACGAACAGGACGATGCATACATGGACATTGCGGACCCTGTGTTGTTGGACGAGTGTTCGATCTCACAAGTGCCTTCACGAGTCCCGTCTCTTCACGATGCTTCCCCAACCCAGAAGCTTCACTCGCGAAAAGGAAGCATAGAGAGCATTGGAAGTGAAAGAAAGGCATCGGATGAGAAATCTCGCGTCACCAGTTGGACGAGCTCGGGCACTCATACTCTTAACAGTCAAAGTACTTGGGGCGGGGAGCGGGAGCGTCAGCGGCTGTCCGTCATCAAAGAGATTGGACCACATAAGTCCTCATCTTCTTTCCAGCGACCAGGCCTGGCTGACCGTAACCCATTCAAGTCCGAACCACCACCTCCGCAACAGGATGAACTCGTCCGCCTCGGCCCATCAGTCGATAGCGCCAGAGTCTACTCCGCCCTCATGAAGCGATTGGACGAATGCAAGCAAATAAGTCAACGAGAAGAGCAGCTACGGCATGGTAGTGATGGGAGTACCGGTCTCAATTGGAACGGCAAAGTTGGTTCGTCGACATCTCTCGGCGGCCAGGAACTTGACGAAGCTACGAATCAAGACCTACCAACCATAAGATGTGTTTTACAAGAGGACGACGTCTTCCATGACAGTCCGTGGGAGCAAAGATTGAAAACAGTGGTTGAGACCGAAGGCCCTCAGTCGGCTCATGATGAAGCGGTATCCCCATCCGATAGTACAATGCATCATCGCCAGCGTTCGGCTTCTGAGACTACCTTTGAAGCTTACAAGCCTTACTCAAGACCCGTGGCCGGGGTCGAAACAGGCCACTCGCCCTCGAAGCCGTATAATTTGCAGGGCGATAAGACCGCGAATCCACCAAGAGCATTGTCTAATCGCAGTTCGGCGTTCTTTGGCAGCCCGACTTGCCATCTCTTCCGCACCACGAGTCCATATCGCAAGGTCTTGCAAGAGAAGGTCAGATCAGAGTCACAGGCTCCAGTTTCAGATCAGTTACTCTCACCATCAGTTTCAATGCTGAACCTCGACCTTATACCTACAAGGCGTCGCCCGAGTCTCTCTAAGGAGGATTCCCGACTTGCTTACTCTGAAAGTATATACTCTGACGATCTTCTCTCCCCACGTGCATTACCACAAAGTGTCGGGGGACAAACAGAACCAAGAGTGCCACCCCGACACCCCAACCATGTAGTGGCCGGTTCTGATTATCGACAGACACCCTCTATGTCCAACAACTTGGAGGCTGTTGCGAAGGATCTCAGTCCTAATGCTACACCCGTGATCAACACACATCAAATACGCTACTTGCCAAGTGGCTCTTATACCTATACACCGACAATGCCACAGAGCCGAACGGTCTCAAACGCAAGTTCTGTGGAGTGGAAGACTTGGCTCTCTGTCAATGCGGCGCATACCGACGCTAAGTTGGCCAATACTGGAACTCAGCACCTGACGGAAGTTCGTCACGCAAAGACAAGTATGCCTAGAAGCTTGGGTCATGTGCGTGAGCGCGCAGAGATTGAGGACCCTGAATCTCCAACATTGTACAGAGCTATGGGCACAGGAAAGGCCAAACTGCAAACGCCACTAAGAGTGACGAGCCACAATCCACGTCAAGTGTCGTCTGCCAGCCGCGTTGAGCTTGGCATAGACGATTCAAAGTTCTCCACACCTTTGAGAGACGAGAACACGATCCCTGAGACGGGCGGACGCGTGGCTAGGCGTCTTCGTGGCATCTACAACCCTCCACCAATTCCGCCCAGAAGCTCTTTGAGGACGACTCCTTCGATGCCGGTTTTGCAGTCTCGTCTTTCTCATAGCAACTTACCCGTTAAAGCCGTAGATCGACAAGCTTCCAAGGTTCGCAGCATGGACGCCATCCCAAAGGCCCAAAATTTCGAGTCCCCCTTCCAGCCCAAGACACGATCTCCGGTCAAATCAGTTAGACGCACCGGACTACAAAAAGGGCTTCAATCGTCTGCTTCCAGCCCAGGGTTGACAATCGAGAAACAATTCGGTCCCATGCTGGCCAGTCATGATGGCGGGTCTCCCAGGGAGAGGCGGGGGTCCGTTCGTCGGCTACTAGACTCCAGCGACTCGCATGATGGTGAGAGATCCGATACCGCGAGCCTTGACTGGAAGGCCGAAGCAGCTGGCAGCCATCACTTGGTTGAGAATTTTCTCAGCAGCAGGCGTCGGCCACCAGTCCATGGGGCGTTCGTATGAGAAGAGACTGTGGGTTTCTCGTAATGGAGACGTATTCGGTTCAGTAAAACGCTTAATGCAAGTCTATTGTCAGACACTTTTATAATTAACGATGACTCGCGGGTATCATAGATGTGTTGTTACAAAGTTCAATGTTAATACATGGTTTTGTTGCGAACGCAAGGCTCTTGTGATGGCATCATGTCACGGACTTCGGAACATCCCCAAAACGATACTGAGCCCACGCGAAGCTGCCTTCCTTCATGGTCCACAGCTGCTTCCCGCGGCCGTCCCCCGCAGCCCCGGCGGCCACGTGAATGGGCATGAGATGATCCATGTACGGATGAGCCTGCTTGGCATCGGGCCGCCTGCAGACCTGAGCCATCTTGTCCTGCCTCTCGGCGACGTTGGAGACCTCGACAGCCTCTTTGAGAGCGTCGTCGAAGCTGACGGCGTACGGCATCGGCCGCGGATCGTTGCTCATGTGGTAGAGATTGTGAACGGACATGCCCGCGCCAATGATAACTACGCCTTCGTCGCGTAGGGCGGAGAGGGCGGCGCCGAGGCGGTAGTGAGCATCCGGGTCCTCTGAGCGGAAGAGCGATGCTTGGACTAGCGGGACCTTGAGGGGGTTTGTGGAAGGGTTGAAGGCTACGTGGAAGCCTGCCCACACGCCGTGGTCTAGGCCGCGGTCTGTCGTGGGCACGCAGGAGATGTTGCTGCCGTGGGAGGCGGAGAGGAGGGAGCAGACGCGGGATGCGAGCTGCGGGGAGCCGGTGTTCGGGTAGGTTGCTGAGTAGTAGTGGAGGGGGAAGCCGGAGAAGTCGTAGATTAGCGGGGCGGGGCCGGGTGCGGCGTTGATTGAGATGGTGGTGGGGGAGGGGGATTGCCAGTGGGCTGAGAAGACTAGGATTGCGGTGGGGGCGAGGGAGGTTATTTCGGCGCCGATGTGTTGGAGGGTTGGGTAGACTGGGTGGGCTTTGTTGTACATTACGTCTGGCTTTGTGGTGTTAGTTTGGTGGTGAGGTTGTATGGTGAGGGTGAGGCATATGGTGAGGGTGAGGCATATGGTGAGAGTGAGAGTGAGGCGAGGTGATGAGATGAGAGTGAGGGACGGGGAGGGTTTGCTTACGCCGCCGTGGGAGAAGAAGTAGACTGGCATCCGCGGTTTCTTCATCTTTGGTGAGTCTGTAATTTGAGAGGAAGTTGAGGGTATGAGAGTTGTCGTCACTGATGTGAGGAAGGCGCGGAGAGTCGGCGAGAGCATGTAGGCCATTAGAGCGACTGTGAGGGACAGGAGGAATAGGGGATTTAGACGAGGCATCTTGGAGTGCGGTTGGTGGCTTAGTAGTTGACTTGACACGCCCGCGATGTTGTGTGTTTGAGTGATCGTCCTGGAGCGGGACGGGAGTCGAGCATATATGAACCCCCGGAAATCGTTGGGCGCTACTCGACGGGCCGGATGAGGGATGCGGCGCGGGGGCGGTGGAGGGGCCGGATGGCGGGTGATTTTGTTTTCGTCGCGCGCGGCCGGGTCCACTGTTGTCTTAGCGGGCGGGCGGAGTGGGAGGGCCGTTCGAGGTGGGCGATGAACTGAGGTAGGATGCGTCAACGCAGGGCCATTAATAATCATCCTCTTCCATACCTATACAAAGTACATGCTTCAAAGAATACGTAAAAGATAGGAGGTAAGAATAAGAACAACGAAAATAACAGAAATAGTAAGAGCGAGAAATCAATAAGAGCAACAAGACAGTAAGAGCTACCTGGACTGCAGTAGCAAGGGGGTCACTAGGGGAAATAGGAATAATTTGAACAGTGCCCTAGGGATGCCAGGAATAGAGCTAGGGTATCGAGCAGCAAATGATTGTGTCACCCACTTGCGTACCAAAATGCGCCGAGGTGGTCGTGAGATCGTGGCCGGAGGATTACCGGGATTACGGATTAGGGGGTTTAAGAGAGGTATGTTTGGGCCATCTACTGATCTCATGGCCTGATGGAGTGCGAAGCTCGAGGTGTAGAGCAGTCTAAGCTCTAGGGTGAGCTTCGAGGTTCCCCCTGCTCGTCAGTGAGGTGATGGGTGCTGACTGCTATCATTCTATGACTTTGCACCACATCACTACAAGTGAAGAATGCGTTCCAATGGCGCAAAGAATACACAATGACAGAAATCTTCTCGTAGCCTATCAATCCATTCGTCTCACCAGCCAGGAGGTGTTCATCAAGGCCGCAGGTTCAGGTCAAACTGGGCTGGTTGGTGGAGTATCTACCTTACCTAAGTTCAAGCTCAAGAATCAATACACCCGCAGGCCTAAGTAGTACGCCACGACAGGCTACGAGTTCGAGCTCGATTCACAGCAAGTGCACCAGGAGATGTAGCCACACCGGCGGTGAACTCTGTGTTTCCTTCGCATATCTTACGAGTAAGCATCCTTTACCACGAATGGGACAGTGCAAGCTGCATTGGAAAACGGTACCGAGCCCGGATCAGCGCCCCGCATACGCCATCGGAGAAAGGGTAAGAAAAACCCACATCTTAATCGGCCCGCCGCCCGAGCTTTCGCCGCGTCGTCTCTCAGCTCTGTCTGTCCTGTGCTGCCCTTGCTTGACACAATCCGCAAATGCTCATCTCGCGAGTAACCGCAACAACCATCCTCCTCGCCCTCCTCGCGCCCTTCACCGCCGCCACACCGCAACAGGAACAACAACAACAACTAAAGCACCTCGAGCAGCAGGATCCGCTTTCTGAGGCAGAAGAGCTCCACCCCCTGCCACCTCATCACCCGTCTCTCGCAGGCATCGCAGAAGCGCAAGGTCCCAACTTGCTCTCACCCCCTACCACCTACGAAGCTATGTCGTCCTCCGTCGCCCGGACGGCCCCGCTCGTGTTCCCGGCCGCGGGGAAGCACACGGCCACCGTCATCTTCGCTCATGGCCTCGGCGATACGGGCCACGGCTGGGCGAGCGCCGTTGAGAATTGGCGGCGGAGGCAGAGGCTTGACGAGGTCAAGTTTGTGCTGCCTCATGCGCCTCAGATCCCCATTACCTGTGTTAGTTGACACCCTTTTTCGGTTTCTTCAAATGGTTCTTTATGAAAAATGTGGAAGTCGTTGCCGATTACTAACATCATGCACAGAACTGGGGCATGCGCATGCCGGGTTGGTTCGACATTGTAAGTCGCGCTACAATCTTCGACCGCCACCGCCAAAAACAGGCAGAAGCATCATCATCATCATCCCCATCATCGCCCAAGCTAACCACCATCCCCCACCCACAGAAAGTCCTCGACGGCACAGTCGAGGCCCTCCGCGAATCCGAAGACGAACGGGGGATCCTCGCCTCGTCAGAGTACTTCCAGCAGCTCGTTCAGGCCGAGGTGGACGCCGGCATCCCCGCCGAGCGCGTCGTCCTCGGCGGCTTCAGCCAGGGCGGCGCCATGGCTATTTTCTCGGGCCTGACGGGCAAGCACCGGATCGGCGGTATCGTGGGCTTATCGTGCTGGCTGCTGCTGAGTAACAAGTTTGCCGGCCTGGTCCCCGAGGAGAAGGCGAACCAGGAGACGCCCGTGTGGTTGGGCCACGGCGACGCGGATCCGCTTGTCAGGCCTGAGTTGGGGGCGCTGAGTATGGATGCGTTGAAGGGGCTTGGGTATAAGGTGTCGAGGACGCTTTACCCGTGAGTATTCTCTGTCGCCCTCTCACTTCCTTCTTCATAGGGCCAGGTCACAATTAGGGCGGAATGCTGACATCAATCACAGGGGTATGGGCCACGCCGCTTGCCCTGAGGAGTTGGACGACGTTGAAGCTTTCTTGTTGGAGAGACTCCCGCCTACTCAGAAGTAGGGTGCTGTTGGCAGAGATCCTTTTAGGAGTAGCTGGAAGATGTATTTATGTATGTAGAAAGAGCACGAGGCAACGGAAGAATAGAGAGAGTCTAGGAGCCAGGAAAGATGGTCTTTTTCGACAAAGGATGTTCGATAGAACCAGTCTTGCTCAAGATAAACAACATGATACATCATTTCCATTACCAAAAGCCTACGTTCACTAAGCCAATCGCTCGATGAGAATGTATGTATACATGGTCCTGTAAAGTGAGAGTGAACGAAATCGATGATGTAGAATAAGTTGCCTCATCTTCGATAGCCTATTTGAGAAGTAGTTTCGTTTCAGATCGCCTCGTGGACCCGTTATGAGAGATGAGAGTGAGATCACACTCAAATGCAATCATGGACAATGCCTCTCATTTAAGCAACTCAGTGAGAGGGTCGCCTTGCCTCACATTCCTAAGCACACAACATACACAGACATGCACATAATTACTAAGCTTACCTAACCATGTCGGACTAAGCTAACCAACTTGTGGCAAGCTCGTCAATCCGCCGTTTGGTTGCGCTAGCGTTGTCTCGTCCAAGGGCCGTCGTCTTATCTCACTTTCATTCTTCACTGCGGTGTGTGGTGCTGCAGCAACTGTTCTTTAGTCTTCCCTCCCGCCTGCCGCAAAGCAGGGCATCTTCCAGGGTCACCTGCGGGTCCCCTTTCCCCCCACCCCATCGTCCCCCGAATCACAAGGTCTCCCAGCGCCATGGGCCCCCATGGACATCCAAAAGGCGCCAGATGCGCCAGATGCCCCAATCCTGAGCCAGCCGGAACCCTCCCAAGTCCCAACGGGTGGTGACCTTGTGCTGTCCGTCCTGGGAAGCTGCAGCTTGCATCTGCATCCAGCAGCAACCCGGGCAGCAGCGGCGGCGTTCGTCTTGCGTTTCTCCAAAAAAAGATCTCCAACCACAACTTTCCCATTTCTTCCCTCTTTCTTTTCTTCATTATCTTCATCGTCCCGGTGGGAGCGCTTCTCATAGCAAGCTGTCAGGTTTCTAATTCTTGATCTTCACCGGGCCCCTTAAGCATGTCACTGTCCGCACTGGCGTTGTGAAGACCACGATAAACAAAACAAAGCCCACAACTCCACGTCCTGTCGCACACATCCCGGCACATAGCAACCCCGAAGCCCCGAGATCTTCCTCCCCTCCCAAAGATACCATACTCCCCGCAGCTGTTGCTATCGCCAACAGAAACCAAGAAGAAAGTAACGAAACGGCAGCCAAACGGCGAAAGGGAGAAAAGTCACCGCAAAACTTCCAGAAGCTCCAAGCCCGACGATGGCATCGCAAGGCGCACCAGGCGACTCCCGCCCCATAACCCCAACTCCCTCACAACTCCCGCCGGTCCCCGCGTCGCCAGTCTACTCCCTCGCCTCGACCGCGAACCCGCTCTCCTCCTACCATCTGCCCCTCCCGCCACCACCGCAACCCGTACACGCCGTCCTCACAAAGTCCGACCTCGAGTCTTCCCAGACCGCCTACACTGACCTCATCCAGTCCGCAAAGGCCTACCGCATCGCCCTCGCATCCCTCTCCACCGCAGCCTCCGCCTTTGGCTCCGCACTCGAATCCTGCGCAAGGCTCAAAGAAGCCCGCGCAGAGTCTCTATCGGGCGGCATAAACGGCCTCTCGGGAGGCGGAGGCGGTGGTGGCGGCGGAGGCCTGTTGTCGGCGAGTTTCACGGCCGGCGGACCAAAGGGATCCTGCACCGCCGACCTGCTTCTCTCCGCCTCGGGCGTCCACCATCTGGTCGCGAACCACCAACAAATTCTCTCCGAGACCGTCTACCGCGACTTCGAGGTCCCTTTACTTCACGAGCTAGACCAATGGCGACAGCGCGTCGACGACGAGGAGGAGGCCTACGTGCGCGAGGTCAAGGCCCGCAACGCCGAGATCAGGAAGCTGGAAAAGGAAGGGCTGAAGCTGCATAAGCAGCGCAGGAGAGACGTGGGCAAGTTCAGGGCACACCTGGTGGACCTGACGACGAGGCTTGACGGGTTGACTTCCCTGCACGGGGAGCACGCGCGGACGCTGCTGCGGGAGAGCCAGGATACCAGCGGGCGGATCCTCGAGTCGTCGTGTAGTCTTGTGCGCGCCGAGGTCGATATCTTTGAGTCGCTTGCGCGCAAAGGGTGGAGCGGCGGCGGGCTGGATGAGTTGTTGGAAAAGGGCGCGGATCTGTTTGCCAGCGACGAGGTCGGTGATCACTCTGGGCTGGGCAGCGTTATTGGCGGTGGTGTAGGCGGTGGCGGCGGGTCGGCCGAGACGGCCAAGCTGTTTAGCATTCTCCCGCCCAAGAGTATCCTCGCGGACGCGGCGTCGGATATGACGAGGCGAGGGGGCCACGCGCGGGGCGATAGTTTGCTCAGCGACCCGGAGCGGTACCAGAGTCTCGCTGC